AGTAGCAGCAGTAGCAGCAGTAGCAGCAGCAGCAGTAGTAGCAGTAGCAGCAGTAGCAGCAGTAGCAGTAGTAGCAGCAGTAGCAGTAGTAGCAGTAGCAGTAGTAGCAGTAGTAGCAGTAGAAGCAGCAGCAGCAGCAGTAGCAGCAGTAGCAGCAGCAGCAGTAGAAGCAGCAGCAGCAGCAGCAGCAGCAGCAGTAGCAGCAGCAGTAGCAGCAGTAGCAGCAGCAGCAGCAGCAGCAGCAGCAGCAGTAGCAGCAGTAGCAGCAGTAGCAGTAGCAGCAGTAGCAGCAGCAGCAGCAGCAGTAGCAGCAGTAGCAGTAGCAGCAGTAGAAGCAGCAGCAGCAGTAGCAGTAGCAGCAGCAGTAGCAGCAGCAGCAGCAGCAGTAGCAGCAGTAGCAGTAGCAGCAGTAGAAGCAGCAGCAGCAGTAGCAGCAGCAGCAGCAGCAGCAGTAGCAGCAGTAGCAGTAGCAGCAGTAGCAGTAGCAGCAGTAGCAGCAGCAGTAGCAGCAGCAGTAGCAGCAGCAGCAGCAGCAGCAGCAGCAGCAGTAGCAGCAGCAGTAGCAGTAGCAGCAGCAGCAGTAGCAGCAGCAGTAGCAGTAGCAGCAGTAGAAGCAGCAGCAGCAGTAGAAGCAGCAGTTATAAAAATGCTTAACTCGGGTTTAAGTACCGCTCGGTTCAGTTCAGTTCAAATCCCAATGACATGAAGAAGCAGTTGTTGAAAGTGAAAGTAAAAACACACTTAAGTCTACCTCCAGCCCCCCCTCAGTCCTAGTCCCCTCGACTGTTACTATGACAACCGTTTATGGGACAGTATATTATTAGTTTACAATGTGACTGTGATAATCCGTATAAACACTCTGTATTTAAACACAGCACTTCCAGACATCCAGAACCTGTCACCTCCAACTTATCATTCAAATAAAAATTAAATAATAACAAAACATTCTGCGGTTTCCAGGACAATGTTTGAAAATCCTGCAGCGGTTCATTCTGTGGGGCTGGTTTACAGGTTTACAGTGGAAGTGTGTACAGCCCAGGCAGGAAATGTTCTAATGTTTGTTTAATTAGCGTTAATGAATACAGATATGATAGAAGCTGCATATGTGCATTTATGCAGATGGTATTGATAAAAATATTCACTAAATTATATAGTGTGTTTTTTGTGTTATATGGACTTTTTATGCGTCAAAAATGAATTAAAACATGTAAAATTGTATCTAATATCTATTTCAATCTGTTTTTTTTCCAATACGGAGGCATCAAAATGTGTGTGTTTTTTTTTTTTTTTAATCTGTCATAACTTTTTTTACGTTTGTATGTAATGGCTGAGAAAGAGAAACTAGATTCATTTAATACAAAACTTGTCTAAATACCTCGATTTATTCCATGTTATTTCTATTCTATGTTATTGCACCAACGAAAACAATCAACCCAATTGTAAAAGTACTCATCAAACATTATAAAAAACAACATATTTCTGATTTGGATGCAGTAGTAAAGTCTCCCGTGCTAACAGCAGCTAACAGCAGTAGCCTCGGTCTATATGTATTCATGATGTATTGATCAGAATGGGGCAGTGCGTGTCAATAAAAACATTAAAAACATGAATAAAATCTAAATTAAATCAATGTAGTTCAATTCATTCTCTTCATGTGTTGCTACTTCAAAACGTGACTGCCTCCCCCTCCCCAGACGCTTCCAAGTCATTTGTCATCGTCTGACCTACATGTACAAGTCTCGCAGAGGAAATATAGACCAGTGCAAAGGAGTACAAGTAACTATATTTGCAGTAGTAGTAGTAGTAATAGTAGTAGTAGTATTCATAGTAGCAGTAGTAGCCTAGAAGTATTAATATCAATAGTAGTAGTAAAAGTAGTAATACTAATAGTAGAGTACCAGCAGTACTCTACTATTAGTAGTTGTCATAGTTGTCATAGTCGTAGTAGTAGCATTTGTAGCAGTAGTAGCAGTAGTATTAGTAGTATTAGTAGTAGCAGCAGTGTGAGACAGGCCTCCTCTCTGACAATGTTTAAAACCAGGTTAAAGACAGTTCTGTTTAACTGTGCTACAACTGAGGGATTTTATATTTTTATCTTTCGTTTTAATGTTCTGTGATTATTTATGATTTTAATGCTTTCTTGTTCAGCACTTTGAATTGCCTTGTGTATGAATTGTGCTATACAAATAAACTTGCCTTGCCTTGCCTTGCAGTAGTAGTATTATTAGTAGCAGTAGCAGTAGTAGCAGTAGTATTAGCAGTAGCAGTAGTATTAGCAGTAGTAGTAGCAGTAGTAGCAGTAGTATTAGCAGTAGTAGCAGTAGTATTAGCAGTAGTAGCAGTAGTATTAGCAGTAGTAGTAGCAGTAGTATTAGCAGTAGTATTAGCAGCAGTAGTATTAGCAGTAGCAGTAATATTAGCAGTAGTAGCAGCAGTAGTAGTAGTAGTAGTAGCAGTAGTATTAGCAGTAGTAGCAGTAGTATTAGCAGTAGTAGTAGCAGTAGTATTAGCAGTAGTATTAGCAGCAGTAGTATTAGCAGTAGCAGTAATATTAGCAGTAGTAGCAGCAGTAGTAGCAGTAGTATTAGCAGTAGTATTAGCAGCAGTAGTATTAGCAGTAGCAGTAATATTAGCAGTAGTAGCAGCAGTAGTAGTAGTAGTATTAGCAGTAGTAGCAGCAGTAGTAGTAGTAGTAGTAGCAGTAGTATTAGCAGTAGTAGTAGCAGCAGTAGTATTAGCAGTAGCAGTAATATTAGCAGTAGTAGCAGCAGTAGTAGTAGTAGTAGTAGCAGTAGTAGCGTGGCAGTAGTCATGTGTTAAGTCAGATTGTGGTGTAGCATCTTCAGCCTCCACTTCCACCTCATCAGAGTTAGCATTAGCATTAGCATTAGCATGCCGCACACGTCCCTGGCACATGTGCGCCTCCTTCACCTTCGTCTCCGTCTCTCAGTCTCTGCCTTTCACCTACTTTCAGAAGCATTCGCCCCATTCCTGCCTCCCCCGCCTCCCCCGCCTCCCCCGCCTCCCCCGTCGCTGGTCATTAAATCCGAGGGCGTCCGATTGATTTGTCGCCTTCCTTTCGTCCGTTCTCGTCCCTCGCTCGTATCGGCGTAGCTTTCTCACAGCTGTCAATCAATAGCATTAGCCGCAGGCAGAGTGCGCGCCGTGCTACACGCCACACACGTGTAAACAGCAGACATGAAAGGTTAACCACATACGCTTTTCTAATTTACCGCCTTCTACAAAGTCATTGCAGTATTTTGACATGTGATGATCCAATCTGGCTCATTTAAATAACCATCTCCGAAGGAATGTGTGCCGTTGGGATAGCGTAGCGGCGTTAGCAACGGCGTTAGCATCAATTAGCCACGTTGGAGATTGAAGCAACAAGAGAACATTGCCAATTTTGCAAACCCATGAATAATAATACAAAAGAAAAATGGATTCATAGTTGCGCCAGCTGCATGTTAAAGCCAGATCCTGTCAGACCTCTGAAGCTAAACAGGGCAGGGCCTGGTTAGTGCTGTGATGGGAGACCTCTGAACAGCGGGTGCCACAGTGGGGCGGCTGCGGCTGTAAAACTGTGGTTGTGTCCTTTGGCAAGACACTTCCCCCACATTAGAATGAGTCTGGTGTGTGTGTGAGTGGTTGGTGGTGGTGGGAGGAGGGGCTGATGGCACAGACTGGTTGCCTCGCTTCTGTCAGTGTGCCCCAGGGCAGCTGTGGCTACAGCAGTAGTTGTAGTAAAAGTTTATAAAACAGATGCAGTATTATTGTTGTTATTATTAGTTGATTTTGGAATGATCTGAACCAAAACGTGACCCTCCCCCTCCCCAGACGCTTCCAAGTCATTTGTCATCGCGGCAAATCACTTGGAAAACCAAAACTTGATAATATCTGGAATGTTGTTTAGGTTTCTTTCTTTGCTAACGCAGCTGTAATCTTCCCCTGATCCAAACTATATTATTGCAATTATTATTCATTCAAATATTCACTCAAATTTTCTGATGACAACATTGTTATATTTTATTAAAACTATTTTGGTCAAAAGACTTCATTCTGTAGTTATTGTAGTATTTATCAGAAGTTGCACATATCATTCAACAATAAATCCACCAACCTGAAAGAGCAGTCAGCCAACCTTATGGATTATCAACACGAATAATTACAGAACCGTTCCCTTTAGCTTTGCAGCAGCTAACGTGGCTAACGTGGCTAATAACGGCTGCTGCTGGTGCTGCTGGTACCGTGGGTGTTACATGGTGCTGACGTAGCCTCACTCTTCCTCATCCTCGGTGGATCCGCGGGTCGCTCACAGTTCAGAGCTCGATTAGCCCAAAGAAAAGGCCCCGAGGTGAACGCACATCGTTCCATATTCAGCGCCGCGTAAGATGCAAGGGCAGAGAGACGCCACTAAATCACTGAATCGTCTCCAGGCTCGGAGTTTAAAGTTTCAGAGGTTTTTCTTTTCTGAATGTGGGAGAAGCAGCTGGAGAAGAGAAGAAATGTAGAAAGTAAAACTAAATATATTTACTTAAGCCACTATACGATATGTAGGTTACTGTAGTGTGTTCAATGAATACTAGCAGCAGCCGTTGTCATGGTAACAGTACAAAAATACTATGGGTAGTGTATTAGAGTACTGTGATTAATCAAAGGTAGGAGCAGCCATAGTAGTAGTAGCAGCAGTAGTAGCAGTAGAAGTAGTAAGACATGTTCAAAATCTTTTCCAAAATCAGACTAAGCCATAAAATCATGAAAGTACACCCAAACTATTTATGTATTTCTACTTCATCTTAAATTCAGAAACATAAAACATTTGTCTCTTTCTACAGATCTGTCCTGACGGTGATTTCCGGTCTGCGTCTCCATAGTGTCAGTCCGCTGTGGTATCTCCCGGTCTCGTGCTGCGCTATATAAATAACTCTGGTTTAACGTGCGATTGTCCCTAAAGGCGTTTAATGACCGAGCGCTCTCTGTCTCCTGCTGTCACAGAGAGACCCCTGACTCCTCTGAAGACCCCACACTTTCTGTGGGCGCCAGTTTCAGTCGTTTTCTGCCACGTCCAAGGATAGATATATATATATATATATATATATATATATATATATATATATATATATATATATATATATATATATAAATAAACATGTCATCAGAAAAATCCACTCGACTTTAAATGCGATCAAAGGGTTTCTCGCAGGGTTAGGATTGGTGGGTTAGGGTTAGTGGGTTAGGGTTAGGGAGTTAGGGTTAGTGGGTTAGGGTTAGTGGGTTAGGGAGTTAGGGTTAGTGGGTTAGGGTTAGGGGGTTAGGGTTAGTGGAGTAGGGTTAGGGGGTTAGGGTTAGTGGGTTAGGGTTAGGGAGTTAGGGTTAGTGGGTTAGGGTTAGGGGGTTAGGGTTAGTGGGTTAGGGTTAGTGGGTTAGGGAGTTAGGGGGTTAGTGGGTTAGGGTTAGTGGGTTAGGGTTAGGGGGTTAGGGTTAGTGGAGTAGGGTTAGGGGGTTAGGGTTAGTGGGTTAGGGTTAGGGAGTTAGGGTTAGTGGGTTAGGGTTAGGGGGTTAGGGTTAGTGGAGTAGGGTTAGGGGGTTAGGGTTAGGGGGTTAGGGTTAGGGGGTTAGGGTTAGTGGAGTAGGGTTAGTGGGTTAGGGTTAGTGGAGTAGGGTCCAGATGTGGCAGAGGACTTCCTGTTTAGTATTGACCAGAAGATACAAAGTTGCACCATTAGAATTCCATATACAGTATTGTCTTTTGTTTTATTTTTTCACAAAGTTATGAAAGGTAATACCAGATACCTGTACCTATACCAGGTAATAGTCAGATTGAAACTGTGTGTGCATGTGTGTGTGTGCCTGTGTGTGCTCAGTTACTAGCCTCAGAACCTAGTCAGATTGAAACTGTGTGTGTTCCCCGCTTGAAGTCTAAAGCACTATATGCGAGGAAATCTGACCTAGGTGTCAGACACTGTAACTTAATAAAAGTTCAGACAGACAGAAATAGTTCTAACAGTAGGGTTGTTAAATGTGGTTTAATGAACGTCAGATCAATCTCGTCTAAATCGCTTCTCATAAACGAACTTATTATAGACAAGGGCTTGGATCTGTTTGCGCTCTCTGAGACTTGGCTCCAACAGGACGACTACGTTAGATTGAATGAGTGCAATCCTCCGACGCATGTTAACTACCAGAAAGCCAGAACTACAGGTCGCGGCGGTGGTGTTGCGATTATATCACACACCAACTTAGTTCTTAGTCCCAAAACCAACAACGCTTTTCACTCGTTCGAAATCTTAACACTTTCAATCACCTGTCCTGGGTGGAGAAAACAAAAAGCAGTACTATTTATAGTATTATACCGACCTCCTGGTCCTTACAGCGAGTTCCTAACAGAATTCTCTGACTTCATTTCAAACCTAGTTTTGGAATGGGAAAACATAGTTATAGCTGGAGACTTCATGTGGACGACAGCACTGACAGCTTAAACAAAGCTTTCAGCGCCGTACTAGATGGTGTTGGTTTTACTCAGAATGTCGAGGAACCTACTCACATTCATAACCACACCTTGGACCTTGTCCTGACCTACGGCTGTGATGTCTCCAATGTTGACATCCAGCGTCAAAGCTCGTTGCTGTCTGACCATTTCTTGATCACGTTTGATCTCGCTTTGGAGGACTTTCCTGTCCCGCAAAATAAAACCATAATGAAAAGAACCTTAAATGATAAATCTATCACAAGGTTCAAAGAACTAATACAGCCTATGTTGAATACTGCTGCAGGTGAACCTGTTCACAGCAGCTGCAGTCCCTCAGTCATTGACCAAACGGTGGGCAACACTATGGAGTCTTTAAAATCTGCATTAAATGCAGCAGCTCCTTTAAAACAGAAAACTATTAGGATTAGATCATCGTCGCCCTGGTACAGTGTTCAACTCCACACTTTAAAACAGGACGTCAGAAAATTGGAGAGGCTATATCGCCACTCCCACTCGGAGCCTGTCCACAGGGAGTGGAAAGCAGGTCTCCGAAACTACAAGAAGGCCCTTCGCGGGGCTCGAACTCAATACTATTCAACTTTAATAGAAGCGAATAAAAACAACAGTAGATTTTTGTTTGGTACCGTCGCTAAACTCACAAACTGCCATAGCGCAATTGAGCCTAAAATTCCAAGCTCACTGAGCAGTGTCGACTTTCTCCACTTCTTTAATAATAAAATTACATCCATCCGTGACAAGCTGGAGGAGGTTGCTCCTGCTGTTAGTGGTGGACAGGCTGAAGCGGCATACGTGACTTCCCACTTAGACTCTTCAGTGGGCCGCGATAAATTCATGGCTGTGAGCCAAGCAGAGGTGATCTCTGTGGTCACATCCTCAAAAGCCTCAACTTGCATGTTAGACGCAGTCCCGACATGGCTCTTCAAAGACATACTTCCTTTGATAATTGAGCCTATCGTAAATATAATAAACACATCCATACAATGTGGCTATGTCCCACAAGCTTTTAAAACCGCGGTAATCAAACCCCTTCTGAAGAAAACAAACCTGGACCCAGAAATACTTACAAACTACAGACCGATCTCGAACCTCACTTTTATATCTAAAATCCTGGAAAAACTTATAGCTGAGCAGCTCCGCTGCCACCTGCAGGAAAATGATATGTTTGAAGTCTTTCAATCAGGATTCAGAGCTCATCATAGACTGAAACGGCACTAGTCAAAGTCACAAATGACTTACTACTAGCTGCCGATAATGGACAAGTGTCAGTGCTGGTCCTACTGGACCTTAGTGCTGCATTTGACACAATAGACCACAGCATTCTACTGCAGAGGCTAGAATGTGATATAGGTCTTAGAGGAACAGCCCTTGGCTGGTTTAAATCCTATTTATCAGATCGATATCACTTCGTCAATGTGAATCAGGACTCGTCGCCTTATTCTGGAGTGGAATTCGGTGTGCCGCAGGGTTCGGTACTCGGACCGATTCTTTTT